GATTTTGATCTTTTTTCATGTATTGATAGAATGATTTATTTGGTTCTTTATATTTTTGAGGTTTATTTTGATTATCTTGCTGTTTTTGTCTACATTCGGAAATACTATGTCCGTATCGTCGGCAATAATTACACCATTTTTTGAAAGATGGTTTGCCTTTAAAGTTTGGGTTCTTTTCGTAGATATTGAGTATTTCAGTGATTTTTTCAACGAGGTCTGTCTCTGATTCCTGTATATTATTAATATTAGTGGGAGTCGTTTCAATTCTATTAACGTATTGTAATTTCAGATTTTCCGTTTCTTCTAGTTTCATCGTGATTTCTGCTTGTTCTAATTTGTCTACTAGTTTTCGAAAATCTAAATCGGGTTCTCGAATTGAAGAAGGATGTGATGCTCTCTTTTTTATTGCTATTTTCCTTAATTGTGGTGTTAAGGTCATCATTAAGATTTCTGTCATCTTTGTGTTTTTATAGTCATGTGTATTTAATGAATATGCTTTTCGAACTAGTGTTTCGATTCGTACTGCTATTTGCTTGATGGTTTCGTTTGGTAATCTGCGAATTTCATTACATAAAACTCTTTGTTGTTGTTTGTTTCTTTCGGAGTCAAACATTTTTGAAAATTCTTGTGTAAATCTTTTCCAGTTTGATTTTATTTCTAGAGGTAGTACTGAAAACCATTTTTGGGCTGCGCCATCTAAGGTTGTTTGTATTAACGCTGTGCGTCGATGTATCCAGTTTTGATGTAGTGGCGTATTAATTGGTTCAGGTCCAATATTTAAAATCAGGTTTGCTGTTACTACATTTAAATAATCTTCTACAGAGTATTCAGGGTCTGTTCCTGTGAAAACCATTAAGGGTTTGTTTGATGTTATTGATGATCCACCCATAAGGTATGGATTCATTGTCATTTGTAATGATTCTGCTGCATTTGGCATTTGAGAAAAATTTGAAAGTTGGTTTCTTGTTATTTCATGTTGTTGGAGATAATATGGGAGTGGTATTTCATTTTGCATTTGTGATGGTTGATACGAGTGTGCAGTCATTGGATTTTGTTGTTGAATTGGTTGAAAAGATTGTGTATTAATTGGATTTTGTTGTTGAATTGGTTGTTGATGTTGTGCATCTATTGTTTGTGGAGAAAAATTTCTATGGTTTGTACATGTTTTCTGTATTCCTTGTCTACGATATTCTTGAGTATTTTGTGCAAATATATCTGGTTGTAAGAAATCATCATCTGAGGATAAATAATCCATTTGATAAGATGTTTGTTTTTTATTTTTATTTTGTTGAAAAAATGGGTAATTTTCATTGCGATCCTGTGGAGGATTTGGTTGAAAATTTTTGGAATTATATTGGGCCGTTGGGTTATCCCAGTTTCGAGGTTTTGTATATTGATTAAAATTCCTTTGTGGTTGATAATTTGTTTTTGATGTATGTGTATAATTATAATTATGGTCTGCAAAGTTGTTTCTAGTGAATGTTTTGCGTGTTTTTGATGGTATTGTCATGGGTCTGTATGTTTGGTAATCCATATGTGAATATTTAGGGGCAACCGAAGGTTTAACGGTTGATTGTAAGGTTACCTGTGTTTGTGAAGGATTTGTATTTCTTGGTGTTGTTAAATTTGGGCGTATTGGTGAAATACTTTGTTGCGTAGTTGTTGTGTGTACAATTTCTTCATTTATGAAGTGTGATGGTGTCTGGATATCTTGTTGAGTAAGATTCCTAGTTCCATTGAGGTTTTCATTGTGTATAACTGTAGAGTTTAAACTATTATTTTGTGTATCGGGTAAAAATGTATTATAGTTTAATGGTGTTGCATCAATTGTTAATGGTATTACTCTTACATAATCTCTTATGTAAGATATTGTACCTATTGCTTGACTTGAGATTGATTGTGGAAAGCTTATAAATGCGGGATGAGACCATTCGGGGTCCCAAACATAATCTGATTGTTCTGTGATAGCGGTATCATCGTTCGAATTTTGGGGTCTAAAATTTTTTCTTGCTTGTGCAATTAAATCAATATTGTGTGTGAAATAATCTATTATGAACCATGCCAAAATTTTTTGTAAATCGTGTTTGGTATGTTGTGAAACGTCGTCTTTCGTGAAATTTTCTTTAATGATGTTTAAATAACTAGAGAGTAGTGTGATTTCATGTCGTACTCTTAAATGTTTAGATGTTTCTGTCGGTGAGACATTTGTTAATGGGATTTCGTTTTCTAATATCGAAATATAACTATATATTATTGCGAAAACTTCATTGGTGAAAATGGAGTTTGCTCTTTGTGAGTTATGGTATTGGATGCTTTTTATATATTCTGAAAAAACTTTTGAAAATTCTAAATCAAGATCGTCTGTTTGAATAGTATATGTTCTATTATTATGGTTTGGGGAAGTGAATTCTATAGAGTAGATTCCATACTGTTGTGTTATGTTGCATATATCTTTTAGATAGTGATCTATGATTTGTCTTTTGATTTTTACATCGGGGAACTCTGTTTTACATGGACTGATTCCGGGTTCAAATAAATTTACGAGTAAATTTTGACAAAATATGTGTTGTCCTCTATCAGTATCTGCGTCTACTATAAAAGGAAAGATTTCATCATCATCTGGGGTTTCGTCACCTGGGGTGTGCGTTGAGCTCATTTTTTCGTTCGATGACTGTTAATATGTAATTATTAATGTGTCGAATTGGTTGATTCCAATTGTATAAATGTACTGGTTTGTGTTTATACTGCTTTTTTATTCTTCTTTTTCCTCTTTTTGATGAATTTGAAGTTGTTTCTGAGTCAGAAAAATATAATTGATCGTGAAGTGGGCAATTTTTATCTATTGATTCTTTTAGTTTGTAAAGTTCGTCTAAACTGTTGGTTTCTGATTCTGAAAATGCGTTTCGATTTTTTGAAAATCTTTTTCGTGTTATTTGTCTTTGTTTAGTTATTATTTTCCTCTTTAGTGTTTGTCGTTTTGTGCGAATGTATCCAACTGTTTGTGTATGAGGTGTGATTACAAGGTCGTATTTTTTGTTATTTATTTCACAATTGTGTAAAACGATTGTTTGTTTATTTCCTAGGTTTTTAAATGACATAAGGTTTAGAATGACGGATGCAAAGGTTGTTAAATGATTTCTATTTTCCTAAACTGTTAGTTCTTACGATTTTTTGGTTAGCTTAACCTGGGTCTATTTGTTCAGGGTTGGAGAGAAAAGTATATCGATTCCGAAGAATGATTTTTACTTTCTCGTGACTAGTATAAGCTAAGGTGTTAACTTACTTAATCTTACTTAGGGGTAGTGATTGTGTTCAAGGGTTGGAGAATAGTAAATCGATCCACAAGGTTCAGGTATAATTAGAACGCGAGTAGTTCGTTAGATACTATTTTAAACTTACTAAGTCTAAGATTTATCCTGGGTCTGGTAAGAGGGGGGGTCAAGTGAAGGATGAATAACCGAAGTTCTTCACTATTTATCCTAATTTGAATGATTAGTTTTGTTTAAAAATTTCTATTAGTCTTGGGTCTTTAGAAAGGGTTGGGTAGTGAATCGACGTTTGAGGTCGTTAGACACTAATTAAGTGGGTGGGGGAGAACCAAGTTGTTCTGTTTGATCCAAGGATAAGCCTTGATGATCAAATTTAAAATTTAATTAAGTAGAAAATGATTTAAGATCCAAGGATAAGCCTTGATGATCTGGTTTTAAAATTAAGTGAATTTAAGTTTTAATAAAATTTTAAATGTGTGTAAAGGAAAGATTTAGTGTTTTGATGATGTTAGTGGGTTTATGATTGCTGTTATGTTTTAGATGATGAAGCTGGAACAACAGGATGATTTATGATTACTAGCCAATTATTGTCATGCTACTAATTTTTATTTTTATTTTCCAATAAATATTTTTCAAACATGTTTTGTATAATACTGCAGAGTTTTAGGAAAACGATCTTAGATCTTTTTATCAATCGTTATTGTATATTAATAATTTTGTTTAGCGCCTGAAATGATTTTGAAGATTAACTTCAAGGTTTTATGTTTGCAAATGGAAATCTAAATTCATTGCAAGTAGTATTCGAAATATAAAAGTTTGTTCTGGCTTTTGCCGAACTATCATATAACTATACGGCAAGTTTCTACTTTGTCGTATGTCGTCTTTGGTTCGAGGTCTTCTTCCAATTCCGGGTAGTTCTGTTATGGTTCGGAATATTGGCTCTGATCTATTGAGTCGGAGAGACATTTCAATTAAATTATTGTCGTATAACATTTTGTAAATGTTTTTGTCTAATTTCTAATCTATTTTTGGTTAATTCTAATCTAGTAAGGTCTTGTTCGAGACTTATGGTCGCACCAGATGAGTTAGGACCGAAGTGTAACTCATAGAGTAATTTCGGATAGGGTACACCGTCTGCTCGTCACGCTATCTTATTTTCGGCCGGATAGATTCGTGCAACTTCTTAGTCTAATACCGATCCTAATCTTACTCTTATACTATCTAGTCTCAGGTTGTTTAACTAGTCTCTGCTAGGCTCAATAGATCTAGGGTATACTGGTTTATTGCGGCTGCTGAAGTGCTCGGGAGAGTCCAACTAATTTCTAAGTTAAATTCAAATCTCTCTGGTGCTGAAATTACAAGTAACTTCAGCACTTACAAATAAGTGGGTTGTTAGTTAGATGGATCATGATTGGTTAATATTAAATACTTTACATTGGTAAAACATTTAATTTATCCAATCATAAAATGTAGTTTAGATCAGGTTCCACATGGATGACCTGTACGCAGCCGTCTTTATAACTTTATAAACCACGGAAGCAACATGCATTCCTGTTATTTCAGCCGTCAAGCGAATTTAAATAACAATTCAACTAGAAATTTCACCCATCTAAATATAGACGAGAGGATCATCATTTTTATAGATTTACAAACTAAGATGACGAAGGTGAACAAAAACGCAAAAAAAATCAGAAAAACGAGAAACGACAGAGTAAAAATGGTAAAACTGACTTTTTGCTGACGTCATCATCGGTGAATGGCTCACTGCTGTCACTGTCCGCCGTCCCAAGTGCTGACCCCCCATTGCCTCCTCCTCCACTCCTGTTAGGGTTGCCCTGTTGGTGATGACTTCGAACCCCTGCTCCTCCTCCGGCTCCCATGCCGACATCAACTGACCCCGCTATCTTGCCCGCACTTGACGGCCGAGCGAGTAGCTTAGATTCTAGATTCCTGTGCCAAAAAAAGAAACTAATAGTACGAGTGGTGCGAAAATGAAAGTACCACAATAACCAACACTCATCACTGGTTGAAATGATGATTCCTCTTCAACAAGGCTTCAGAAATAAACTTAAGAGCGCTGATTGGAACTTTTTTCAAGGCAAATAACTGGGATGATAAAACCTCGCTTCAACAATCTAAAATTTGATTTCTGAAGCGCTCTTAAGTTTAATTTCTGAAGCGCTCTTAAGTTTAATTTCTGAAGCGTTACACCATTGATGAGGATTGGTTATGACTATTTATAGAATACCCATTTTTCATAAAGCAACTTATCGTAAGGCGACCATACCCTATACTTCAATTTTTGACAACAAGTTGAAAGATTGCTTTGCACTGTTTTCTATTTCTTGTATACCTTGCCGCAGCTTGGACGCCATTGGTTGATCCAAACGAAGCATTCTGATTGGTCGCACGAGGCTTAGGAGACGGACCAGGCATCATGTTTGCCATCTCACTAAAAAAAATCAGAAAAATCTATGATTTAAAAAAAAAGTCGTTCATTTAAGCAACGGTCACAGTCAAAACTCACAAATTAGAACTTCTTTCTTCTTTATTAGCGGAAATTAAGTAAATGATTTCAAAGTAACAAAATTACCCAGCCTGGAATGTTGGGAAAAGTACGAACGGACTATGCTTGAGGCAGGCCTGAGAGCCGTTCATAGATCCTCTGCTCCATCAAATATTATCGCAGAAACCTCAATCAAATATTATTTTAATGCGTTTTAGGATTCAAGTAATTTGCAAACGCTTTGTGCGCTCAGTTAACCCGAGCTCAGAATCATTACAAACCAAATTGTGCAAGATAATGGGTTCAAAACTGCGTTACTAAACAAAGATTAAAAAAAAACATTTATTAGGATGTAGAGTCAAAAACTTCAGAAAGAGAAAACTAAAGCAGGAGTAAATGTGAAAAGTATTGTAGCGCAAGAAGAACTTTAACAATTTTCTTCAATTGAATAAACAAAATGAGTCGAATTATTTGTTAAATAATTTTTGTTTGCTTAGTGATCAGAAGGCAGAACCTCGTAGAATTCCGCGATTACACTACCTCCGAAAAATTCCTGTCATATTTTTTTCTTTTTCTTTTTTAAACAAATTGAAAAGTTGCCGATAAAGGCACTTCAGTCAGTTTATTTCGGCTCATCTAGTTTCTTTTTTTTTTAATATTTCATGATTTTTTGTGGTCTAAAAATGCGACTGGAAGTTAAATGAGCGGTTCAATAAAACTAAAGGATATACATAATGCTTCTTAAGTTCATTTTAAATCGTTTTCGGGCTTGTTTTTTTAAAAAACATAGCTTCGCGATTATAAAATCTTAAGTTGTTTTTGTTTCTGTTTTAATCACATTTTTTGTTAGGCGTTGTTTTGGCCGTGCTGCCGGAATTTCTGCATCAGAATATCAAAACACTACGAAATTTTTTGAGCTGCATATTTCGGAAACAACTACTCATATTGTCCGAAGGATGTTTAGGTAACAGACACCTGGTTGAAAAACTACAGACCGCGAGATCTCAAATAAACTTTTACCACTCAATTGAACATTTCTGTCGGAAAACAGCGGAGGTGGTGCTGGAATTTATGTAAGTGTGAATATAAGTGGATATGTAAAAATTATTACAATCAATTTGTCTTCGACGAAGTCAACTACAATACCGGCTGCCTATAAATTACATGCAAGCATTCCTACGTGCAAGCATTGGAGAAGTTAACAAAAAGTTAGAGGATCATCTTAGTGATAAAGTTATTTCTGAAATGTGCGATCACATTTTTTGCGGGAATTTGAATATGAACCTATTAAGATCAAATTCCTGTAGGAAAATTATTCAATTGTTGTTATGCAGTTTCAATCCTCATTTTTTTCAATCATTTGCTGCTTCACGTGAACAAAACACTCCTAGACTACTAATTGATGTTTCTTACAGCAAAAACACTGAAAATTAAACCAGTTGAAAAACTGGAAACAACAAGAAGTGATCACTTTACAACTAAATGTAAAACTAATTTCAAAGAGATAGACAAAAAACCCAATTACCATGTAGAGATAACTGTTAGAGGTTAAATTTCCGTTAACAACATGAAGTATAGATTTCAAGCCAAAATTTGGATTCTAATATTTGCTTCAGGACTCGTAATATTCTTGTAGAAGAAAAAGATGGCGAAATCTCACATTTTCCTTCCAAAAACAAAAAACTTTTAACGGAAGAAATGAGTGAATATCATTATGTTACAGTTTAACAGTTCCAATTAAAACCGGATATAGTAGTTCCAATTACAACCAGAACTGTTTTCTTTCGTGAAAAAGAAAACAGCGAAATTGAAGTATCCATTATCAAAAACTGCTTTCCCTACAAAACTTGAACATACTCTTAATATTTTAATATGTTTGCACTGAAAAAAAGTGAAGAGAGCTATGGCACCAGTATTAGCATTTTCTTCAATCATTGCAGAATGATCTTCGATTTTTCTGAGATTTTTAAATTGGCTAAGGTAACCCATATCTACCCAAATCTACAAAGATGGTGATCTAACCTAGGGTGGAAACTTAGGACCCTTGACAACCCTTCTCACATCAAGTTAAATATTTGACCGTTTTCTCTATAATAGCATCATTAGTTATCTTGCAAAATTCAACCTCCTCACACCAAAACAATTCAGTTTTAGGCAAAAACATAGTGATGCCCTATTTGAGCTGATTCAAAACATTTAGGAGACCTTTGCAAACAGTTGACAATGATGAGATTGTTTTCGGATTTGAAAAAGGCATTTGATAAATTTAAATCTACCATATTGCAAAAAACTAATTTCAGAGTTAGAGGGAAAGTTAATGTTTCATTTTATTCTAATTGAACAAAATAATCAGTCTTCTTTTTTAGTGCCGTTCACTGCCGAAATTGAAATTAATAAGTTGGGAGTTCCCCAAGGTTCTGTCCTTGGTTCCGTATTCTTCGTCACTTACATGAATGATAAAGATACTTCATGTGACCATTTTCAAACTTTTCGTGACGCTCACGATACAGCTCTTTCAACCAAACGGGGCAAAAACACGCTCAAAGTTGAACTGATGAGCGTAAACAATTGGCTAGCTGAGAACATTATACCCTAACACTGACAAAAGCTTGCTCGTATAATTCATTAAAAAAAGAAATACTAAAACAATAGAAAAATTGTCAAAACGAACCGCGAAATTATTTTTTTAAATGTTTCAATTTTATATGCTTACGATTAATCTTGGATCGGAAACTGAACAGAAGTACTCAAGATAAAATTAGGTCCGTTCTCCGGAGTTTTTATACAACCTGAGAAAAAGAGAATTCAAAATATTTTGTAAATTACATGCAAAATTTGCACACAACCAAAATTTAAAAAAGGTATTTGGTTAAGCGAAACAGCAAGTAGGACCAAGTCATGTGATTTGGAAAACATACATTTAGGTTAAGTTTTGTACAAAAAAATTTCAGTACGAACTTATTGTTCAATGTAAGCTCTATTTCATGTAGGGCTTACATCGATTAAAAAATTGAAGTTTTCAAGCAAACTAAAATGTTGTGCAAAAAAAATTAAGGAGGATTTGAAACAAGGAGGATTTGAATAGTCGCTTATAGTGGTTCTTGTTTATATGAAATAACCAAGACGTACAACGCTTGGACAAGTGATCAACCTTTAAGGTTGTGGGTATGAAATATCATCAAACATATACAGTTCATTTTTGAAAACTATCCGAATTTTAAAGGGCAGTGTGGACAATTTTCGACAGTTTCATGACAAATAAATTCTGGGTTGCTTGAATCTTTTCTGACGAATCTTTTGAAAAATTCAAAAATTTAAACAGAGGCAAAGCTGCACTTTGCAAACAAGCGAGAGGAAAATGCAAAAGAACTCTAACCAGGCAAAACAAAGTAAATTAAAGAAATTATCAAAACACATTGAAAAATTTTTTGTTGAGATTACGAGTATCACGTTCTCACATCTTCTCCAGGATCGCTTGTTTATGCAGCAAAATTCGATCAGAAATTAACTATTTAAATGGTCCAGATTTGAATAACCGACCTGTTGATTAGGAGTTTCACTTCCTCGCCACAGTTGCTTGGAACTAAACTAGTGACCCAGCTCATGACTATCTACCTATTCTAATATTTTTACTCATATTTTGTAGTGACACGGAAATGCTTAACTTTCAAAACTTCAAAAAAAAATGAATTTAATACTAAAACCTACTGTTTCTCTGCTGAGTTATTGAGTTGACCATTAAAGGAGAAAAACACTATTCGCTCTGTTAATTGAAGTCCTTATCTGAGATTCCAAAAAAAAACGAAAAGATTCCAAAAGTCGGAATTAGACATTTACTAAATCCATAAGCTTTTCTCTACTAAAACATTGGAATAGCCTCTTTCCGCACCTCGAATGTTAGATTTAAGATTTCCGAACCCTGATTTTGCAGAATGAACCTTCAATATCAGATCGAGTAGTTTTTGAAAATACTGGCGAAATTTTCAAAAAAAGGTAAAAATTTTTTAAAAGAATTTTTCCAAAGTTTATAAAGTTTTCTAGAAAAAAAAACAGGGCAAGCAGATTATGCAAAAAATCGAAGCACTATGTTTAGTTTCAAGGAGTTATCAACCTCAGAATTAGCAGATTAGTTTTTGAAAACAAAGAACTTTCCAAAAAATGGGCAAAATTTCAAAAACTGAGAATTTTCTAAGGCCATTTTGTTATTCAAACCGCAATGCGCAGACGCTTGCGCAGGTAAGATTTGCATAACTGATGTTTTCATTCACTCAAACCCTTAATTTCTAATTTGGCAGTGTAATTCCACAGGTGGCAAAGAACGGTAATTTTTCCGCATTAAAAAATTTACTTTTGCGCAAAAACTATGGGCTTACTATGGCTAGATAAATTGAGTCTAAGGAATCTCGGAAAACTTATTTGTTTGACCTGAAATAAGGTTCAAGAAATCGTAGATCTTTTTTTGAATTCTTTCCTCTTCAAGAAAACAATCCATCCCCTGGTTGCAAAGAATACGATTCCCAGAAACTTCGGACAAAAATAAAAAAGTTTTGTGGAGCGTTATATAGGGAACAATTTATCAATAAAAAGAATAAAAGGTGAGAGAAAACTTAACTGAGGTTGGAATTTTGTTTATTAACATTTCAAGGGGCGAAGTTTCCGGAAAAAAAAATCTCACATGCTTTTGTCCCAGTCCGAATCTTCCTCACTCTCGTCCAACAAGGTGGATGTTGCCACAATTCTGAAAAAGATGTTGACCAAATATTACACAGAAACACAAGTTTAAGGGTTATTTCAAGCATGAGAAGCAAAAACGATAGTTTAAGTCAGCCCATGCTATTTAAAGAAAGTAGCAGGTCTCTTTGCAACCACCTCTAACTTCTAAAAAATTAGCCGGTCAGTGTGCAAGTAGCACTAATTTTTTTACCACAGTTACCACTGAAAAAAAAGATGAATTGGAACCACTTTTTCGATTTTTTCCGATTTGTTTTTCAAAAAAGATAAACTTGCAGTAACTTAATCCGCAGGTTATAATGTCCTTTTTGAGCTGTTTTGATTGCTTATTTAAATTTACTTACTTGACGCAACTCATTGCAGATATCAAGAGCTTTCGCTAAACGTTCCGTCTTTGCTAAATTTGAGCCTGCCAAAAGCTTCAGACCAGCTTTTCTCGGCACTGAAAATTTTTTATAACTTTAACGTAAAATCAGAATAAAAACTGAAAAAAATTAAATATGGAATTAAACTTGATTCCCAATGGGATTTTTATAATCGCGCGAAAAAACATCGTAAGCCCGAGTTCCTTCCCACTCAGTGAGTCCAGCCGACGAAAGAATAGATTTGATTCCTCTTTGAGAGTCTATCCCTTACCCGGCTGATGCGCCTCCATTGACAAGTCCATTCGTTTGAGGTCTGAATTTCTCCGAACCACTCGAAAGACTTCTGTTTATACCCACTCCTCCACGCGATGACACTCCTCCTCCGCCTGCATCGCCTCCGCTTCCGACAACCTCCATTCCACCCCCAGCCACCTGTTTCCGAACAGCCGCTTGCGGGACTGTTGTCATTGTCTTTCCGACTGATGATGTTACGGAAAGAGTCTGGGCTCGTTTCGGCGAGGACACTTCTCGTTCGGACTCGGAGAAACTCAAGTCGTCTGAAATGAGGTCTTTAAATCGGGTTTTACTCTCGGGTCTGACAGCCGAACTCGGACGAACATTTGGGGCGGATTCTGGTTGCGAACCAACAGTTTTACTAAAACACGTTTGCTCTCAATATTCATTAGACGTGCAATAGAACAGGAGCGCTTTGAAACTTATACTCAAGGGAGTTTTTTTACAAGGCAAAAGCTCTTACGCCGAAACTCTTTGCGGAGTCACAACTTTATTTGTGTTTTTCTGTCCATCAAACAGAACTCGCTTGGCACCAGGACTTCTGCGGGTATGTTCTGAACTGTTTGCATCTAGTGGCATGTTTTCAGCAGTCAAGCCTTTCATCTCCGGTCGAAACTTTCCTAAAAGCGCACCAAAATTTTGTGAAAGGTTCAAAATCTCTACGAGAAGATGACATGAAAGATACAAAAAAAAACAATTTTCCCAAAACCTTTCGTAATTGCTATTTTGAAACGAAATAAAAAGTGACATAAAAATGAACGATAACCACGTTTTCATCCAAACTTGAGCTATAAGGAAATATGCTTTGATTTTTAGAGGCGATTGATAGAAAGTTGTAACAGAACCACTACCTAGTTTCTGTAGCTTTTCTCTCGCAATTTCGTCAATATCCTTCGAATACTCCGCCCTCAATCGACTTAGATCTCTTCCCTTGTACGATTGCGCCCTCTGTTCTCCAAGAATTCTAAGTTTCGAGCTGAGAGTCTTCGAAGAAATCCTATCTGAATCCTATAAATTATAAAGGCGAGTGACAAGTGATGAAATTAGAAAAACACCCAAATAAATCTAGAAACAACAAAGATTGCCAGTTTCTGTGCAAGTAGTGAACAATGCACCGAGCATAAAAATAAACGAAAGTCACAAAACGATTAAATAATTTGAAAAGCATAAATTTGCTAATAAACACAAGGCAAGATGGTTGCTGTGCAAGTGTCACAGACTGTTCTGACCACATTCATAAGAAAGCTACAGAAGGTTTTCTTTTTCCTCAAATTAGTACCGTTTTTAGCGGGTGGCATGACTAGATAACGAACACGTAGAAGAATACTAAATTAATCATATTTACAAACAAAAACAATGATAGCTGGTTACTGTGCAAGTAGCACAGAATGTTCCGACCAGTCTTAAATAATTACTACAAAATTATTCTTTCAAATTGTTGTCGTTTTTTTTGGCGTGGTGTGATACAGGAATCTGAGCAAAAAAAAGAGCTGAGGTAATTTAGTCAGTCATTGTAGGATATGCAAATTGGAAAACAAATTTTGAAGACAAATAAAAAGAAAAACAAAACAAAAAATTTTAAAAAATTTTTGAAGTTTTTGATTCCTAAGATGAAGCTAAAAACTCCAAAAACTAACTTCATTTGAGTAAAACTAAGTTTTCAAGATTAAATTGAGCCCCAATAAGCTAATGTAAGCCTGCTCACTCGCTCGAATTTTGACGAAAAATCAAAAATTTCAAACCGGTTTTTCTCGACACTGGGAAAAAAAAATTTTGAAATTTTTTATGTCGTTCGAATCACGACTGAAAGGGCTTTTATATGATTTATCACTCAACCCAGTCCAATGATAATTTGTGGTAGCTGATTTTGCGCAGAAAATAAAAAGAAAAAAAACTAAACAACCGATTACAAAGTTCCTCCCCATGTTCAATGGTCGGAACAAAAAAAAAATAATAAAAATAATAAACTTGAGTTTTTTTAAACTTTAGGCACAATTATTTTTAAGTTTTTTAGAAAAATTTTATTCCAATAGAAACGCTTAAAAGACTTCCAAAACAAATGTTCTTTTTAATCAAATCAAGTTTTCTCAGCCTGAAACTCTAAATAAAAGTAAATTTGCATATAACGAACGTTACTCAGTCGCTTTACTCGCTCGAAAGTGAACTGAAACTCAAACTTTAAATTAGTTTTTTCGACATTGGGGTATTTTTTTTTTTTTGAATATTTTAATGTTGTTCGAATGACGATTAATAAGCTTTTACTTTGATTTATCACTCAACCCATTCAGATGATTATTTGTGGTGCCTCATTTTCCGAGGAAAACAAAAAAGTATAAAAAAAACTACAACACACGCGGACTCAAAGTTCCTTCCCACTTTCACTGGTAGGCAAAAAACCAATTAATAAAATATTTTTCTTTAAGAATTGTACATTTTCTCAAGAACTTTTTTGTACTTTTTTTTGTTTTCCTCGGAAAATGAGGCACCACAAATAATCATCCGAAAGGGTTGAGTGATAAATCAAAGTAAAAGCTTTTCAATCGTGATTCGAACATTGAAATATTTTTAAAAAAAATTGCCCCAGTGTCGAAAAAACAAAAGTTTGAGTTTTAGTTTGTGTTTTGGAAAGGGCAATTGAATTATGTAAAAATAGCGAGAAACCGCTCTTTTACTCCAGAAGTAAGTAAAGCTTAACCGCATTGAAATTTTATGGATAATAATCAATTATATTGGATTTTTCTTGCAGTCTCTATAAAATTGAAACATAATCGATTAGAAACCTTTAAAAATAGGTTATAGTTTTTTGTCATCTCAATAAAATCTATTAAATCTGATTTTCGTGAACATTAAGGAAAATTTCAAACACAGTGCAGTATGCTCGAAACTTTAAAGTTGTTTTAGGCTGGATTCACAAAACATCAAATAAAACAAGATTTAATTCAGCTTAGAAAATATTATCTTGTTTTCTCAATTTTTTTGAGCTTTCATCACTCTCTCTAATCTATTGTAGCATTTGATACCCCCAGGTTTACGATCAATAATAATGGATTTTAAATGGATTATAACCCATTAAAAGAGATTTTAATGGATTGAGTTTTTACGGCAGTAATCGACTATAATTACAACACGATTTCATGGTCTAAATTTGGAACAAAAATGAATTAAAAAAAAACGTTTAGGACAAAAGTTTTCAATTAAAATCAATTTTCATCCATGAAACTACGACTTGACTAAATAACGTTGAAATTGCAGCAGAATTAGATTTGGTGCTCAGTCTTTCAACAAATATTGTTTAGCTAATTCAGAAATACGGAAAAATTCAGAGCAATTTTTCTCGACACAGCCAGCATTTTTGAGATTTTTATATTATCTGTTCCACGACTGAACGTGTGCTAAAAACATTACCACATACAATCTTTCTACGAGGTAGTCAAAATTAGGCGGAAGAACCCCCCTCGCAATAATTCTCTTCCCACTCTCGGCGAAAGTGGTTGGAATAATAAAAATTTTCAGATTTAGGTTCGCAAAACAATTTTTAAAAAAGCTTCGTCGTTTTACACACCTCTGGAATCCCTAGTTTCTTCAGTTCCTTGGCCATGATATTTTCCATCTCAGGTCTCAAGTTGGCCAGAATCCTGGGGTCACTTTCTAGGGCTCCTGATACAAACACATTCAAAACCATGACTATATTAGAGTTTGATGCCTGAAACTACAAGATAAAAGGTTCGATATCGCGCTGTACCCTATGGATTGCAATGGTGAAATTCTTGTATGAAGACCTTGTCTGTAAAACTCTGCCAGAATTAACCTAAGGGCTAGAACTTCAGATCATTTTCGCTGAAAGGGAAAGAAATGAGAAGAGTTCCGCAACGGATTGAAGTTAGAACCTAGTATATCGTAGTTAATGGTACACTTCGAGTCAAGAGAACGCATATAGAAGAAAACTACGCTAAAATTACTCATTTTCTTGACAAAACGTGCCAGTCAAAAATTTTGCTTATTTTGTTTTGTTTAAAATACCATTAGATTAGATTTGAAAGTCAATATTTTTGCTTATTTTGTTTCATTTTAAATACCATTAGATTAGATTGGAAAGTCAATAATTTTGTTTATTTTGTTTCATTTAAAATACCATTAGATTAGATTGGAAACAATTTATTATTAAAAATAATATGATTATCTTACTTATGGACTAGACTGTAGGATGCTTTCCCTAAATATTCAACATTCAGAATACCAAAGAAGTTCTTACCCGCAAGACGCTGAGATCGACTGAAGGTCGCAGGGATTTCCACCTCATTTCTGCTTTCTTCACTTTGCTCTGAAATCAGAGGTAATTATTTGCTAATAATTTAAAAATTAATAATAATTCAGCTGTAAATTTGTAGCATTGTGGCGCAAGTGACCGAGAACCGTGCTAGCAATCATATGGTTGCCGGTTCGAGACTCGCACGTGCGCTACAATTTACAATGTGAGCTGTTGCAAGTTAAGTTGCATCTAGCTGAGCTTAAATAGTTCACCGTAGGGTCAGACATAAAGCTGCTGAATATAGAGACAACAATTTAGGAGCTAATTGTTGTCGTCCGTTGTTTTGGGAGGAACTCATAGGACGAATTTGATTCAGCTCACGTCGTGTCGGCAAAAAATAGACCTCGCAAAAACCCAAGTTCCCCAATGGTTACACACGTACTTTACTCTATAGTTTTAGAAACAGAGGATTCTACGGAAATGATAATTTAAATGGTTAAAAATGATTTTTTTTTCAAAAAAATTTTAAAACCAATTTTTCGTCGCAATGCGCATTGAATATTAGTTCTGAAATTTCATCTGCCAAATTTAAAGTTTTTCTTGTTTTTTATAGAAGCATCGCATATAGTTCAAAGTTCTGCTCGGAGAAAAGCAACATAATTGACAGAAGAGATTATATGATAGTAACAGAAGAGGAAAGGATGAACAAAGAAAAAGGGAGTGATTGATCACATGACAAGGTGAACAAAAAAACTGATGACGTCATAATCGTACCATCGAAGTTGACCTTTTTTCGCTTCCTATCTCCACTCGAAGAAGCTAAGTTACCATCCGCTACTTTTTTGAGGTCATGATAGGAGGCTAAATTAGGTCTACGAGTTGATTTGTACCATTCGACCAAGTCGTCTATCGGCTTTTTTGCTGCAGCAACTTTTGAATTGCCGACGTTTAGGTCGGATTTGGGACTGAAGTCTTGAACTTCGGGCGCTTTTTTAGAACCCTTTGTGGATTCTTTTGGGTTTTTTTGACGCGACACTTCTGACGATACTGCAACAGTAGTTGTGTTGAGAGCTGCTTTGGCATAGTGGAATTGGTGATTATTGCCATGAGATTCAGAGATTGAACAAACCTTGACTGGAAACAATTTCATTACATGCAATTTGCTTCATTTAAATACACAGAGGTTGTTATCAATTTTTTTTAAAAAAACATAATTAAATTAGGCTCAAGAATTGAGTACTCATTGATCCATTATTACTTCAAAGCAAAATTTTGAGAAACTACAGGGCATAGTTTTTTTTTGTTAAGGACATCCGGTTTACTTGAAATTCGTTTTTTTTTCAAAGAAATTGCCACTCACCAGTCGATGTTTCGACAGGTTCCACTTCAGCAAAATCTGGTTCATTAAAATTCTGAACAGCCGAAGACATAATTAGCCGACTATCTGGATGCTTAGCCGCCGGCGACTCAACTGCGTGCTCTTGGCGCCAAGAACTCACTCTTCCGTCAAACTCGTCACTGTCACCGTTTCGGCCTATGTGCCTATCGCTTTTCTGAGCTTTAGGTGTAGATTGCTGTGGCACCGAGCGAATTTTCGGTTTTCTTTTGTCTCTTGATGAGGAGTGGTCGGAAATGTCATTTTGGACGATTTCGTGGCGACTCGTGTTTTGAACTCTTTCCAACAGGAGCCGCTGAGATTCATTTTCGACTTCGAGTCTGCGAAGCTAAAAGAAAAAAAACTAGAAAAAAAAACGGAACTTGAGACTTCAAGAAAACTAATTCCAAGTGTTTTTATTAGTGAGCAACCACTGATGCGAAACTGAATTTGAAAAAAGCCTAAATGTTAAGCAACCATGAGGCTAAGAACAAATTATACTAAAAAAATCTCAATTTTTCAAGCCCTCAATCGAAAAATTGTTACTGGGAAAATGATTTTTTAAAAATGTTTAAATGGCACATATGTTTTAATACGTCAACAAAGTTATTGATAATTGAAGGTTCAATTTAAAACTATGTAACAAAAACTATAATAATTAAAAGAACTAGAAATGTTCTCAGGACTCTTAAAGCGTCGAATTTAACCAAAAGCAACTGCACCAAAAGCAGATTATCATCGATTGCTTACAAAGTAGCTGAATATTTTTCTCAATTACAGTGAAGTTTTCTCACCTTCTCCTGATAGAGCGCCAGTTCTCGCATTTCATCATCATTGTAACCTAAAATAAATGCGTGAAACATGATTTGTGCGAACTTGCTCCTTTGCTAATTTAGAACAAAGAAACCAGCGGATGCTTTGAAAAATTTTAATGGACTAGAGGAATAAACAAATAACTTGGGTGAATTTTTTCACCTTTCAGAGGAACAAAAAGAAACTTCTCTAGGTTCGGCGCAAAGTTAGGCTGGCGAATAAGTTTTTTTTTGTTTCTGATATAACAATTTCATAGAACACTCAGAATTTCGCTATTTTGGACAAAACATTAGCTAGATTCTCAAATGCCATCCATTAGATCCACCCTAGCGACGGTAATTTAGAAAAAAGTAAAAATCATAACATATACAGGGGGAAGCTGAACTTCAAACCATAGCAAAACAGATTACGTCAGCCAAAAATGGCGTAAATATTTCAACAAAATCTCGATACTGCAAAAATTTTAGGACATCTTTTCTGGAATGCGACTGAAAACTCAAAGGAATTAAGATATATCATACATATATCGCATCCTATAAGTATTAGCTCAAAATTATAACTCTGCCTTACCATTGGTCGCTTTTTGAGGTCTGCTGTTCTGATTGGCCAATGCCACTTGTGCTTCTGCATACTTAGTCTGCAGCTCGCTCAACTGCAGCAGAATCTTCTCCTGGAAAGAGCTGACCTCCTGTTGACCCCCACCTTGGTGACCGTTCTTCAACACTTGACCTTCAGATATATTGGCAAGAGTAGTTGTTTTGAGCAACTCGATCTGCTCCTTCAAGAAACTGTCGTTTCTAGCTCTTTCTGAAAAAAAAATATTAAACATCAAATTTCCTTCCCAGTATAGTTAAATTTTTGTTTTATAGTTAATTCATCCTTGGGTTACTCAAACATTTTCCCAAAAAATATAACAAGAATAGAAAAAATCAGCCACTACGACGGAAATAATTACATACATAAACAAGGATAGCTGGTTACTGTGCAAGTAGCACAGAATGTTCCGACCACAGTCAAAATAATTTTTTTTTCAAATTAGTGTCGTGATAAAAAGATCTGAACAAAAAAATAGAACTTTTGTATATTTGAGAGACATAGTAAAATAGGTCAAATGGAAAACAATTTTTTGAATTTTCAAGTTTTTTATTCCCACAATTGCGCTAAAAAAACTCCAAAAACTATTTTTACTTTACAAATTTTTTAATTTTGTTCGAATCACGATTGAGAAGGCTTTAATGTAATGCATCACTCGACCCATTCTGATAATTAATTTTGGTACCTAATTTTGCGTGGAAAACAAAAAGAAAGAAACTAAAACACACCCGAATACAAAGTTTTCTCCATTTTTTAAATGGTCGGAACAAAAACATATACATAAGACTCAAAAAAAATTGATTTGCAATTGAAAAAAAACTCACTCACAGAGACAATTTGAGGTAACAATTCGTTTTGCTCGTTATAAAACTCACGTTGTAAACATGCAAGGTTTTGGTAAGTCATATTTGGAGGCAAAATTCGCAACTCCTGAGAGTACCCTGACAGAGTCGAAATTACCATGTATGTAGTGAGACTCTATCAGGGTACTCTCAGGAGTTGCGAATTTTGCTTCAAGTTTTGTGAAAATTTTTATATCTACGTTATGTGAAAAATATTGAGAAAATCTTATAAAACGTCATATCTCGAAAACTACAAGAAATTGAGCAGCCATATTCAGTGTTAAGAATAGCAACCCCCTGAGAGTACCCTCACATGTTCCAATAACAGGATTGAGATCTTCAATGTTTTGGAATTTTTTAACATCTAAGTTTTTTTTAAATTTCGGAGAAAATAAAAACAACGCCGTATCTCGAAAACTACAAGGATTTGAGCAGTCATATTTGCAGGCAAAATTCGCAATTCCTGAGAGTATCTTGACAGAGCCTCACAACAGAGTTGTGAATATCAATTTAGGTGAAATTTTTTATATCTAAGTTTTCTGAAAAATTTTGAAAAAAAACTTGAAAAAAGTCATATCTCAAAAACTACAAGGATTTGGGCCGCCCTAATTAGAGGCAAGATTTGCAACCCCTGAGAGTATCCTCACAATATCCAACAACAAGAATGAGATCTTCTACCTTTTGGAATTTCTTAAAATCTAAACTTTTGAAAAAATCTTAAAAAACGTCATATCTTGAAAACTACAAGGATTTGAGAAGTGAGATTTGGAGGCAAGATTCGCAACACCTGAGAGTAACCTGGCAGCAGCTAACTACATGGTGACAATTTCAAAAATTGAGAAGTTTTTTAAAATTAATTTTTCTATAAAATTTTGAAAAATCTCGAAAATTGCCTATCTCGTAAACTAAAAGGATTTGGTTATTCATATATGGAGGCCAGAATTGCAAAACCTGGGAAAAATCTGACAACATCACACAATTAGGTTGTTAGTTTCAAGCTTGATGAAATAAACACTGAATTTAAACTGGAAAATCGAAAAAAAACTTAACCATAGCATTATACGATATAGTTTAAACGTGAAACAATTCTTTTGTTAAACATGCAAAAATATTACGTTGAAAAAGCCTAAGCAAAGCGAGAAAGTGAAGCCCGCATTTAAATATAAAACAGATAATAGATAGCTGAAAACTAAAAAATTAGGAGACGGGCAGACAGACATAATCAAATTAATTAAGAAAGCAGGTATACAGACAGACAGACTTAATTTGGCCTCGCAAAAAGTTACAGAAAATTAATGACCTTCCGGAAAAGTAATTGAAAATTTTTCTTAAGCATTGCAAAATATGGTATAGCTTAAGCAGGAAAAAAACTCTTTCGTTAAACAAGCAAAATTATTATGCTTAACTTGGGAGATAGCTGTCACTCACATTTAAATATAGTATAGATAGATAGATAGATAGATAGATAGATAGATAGATAGATAGATAGATAGATAGATAGATAGATATAGATTGATGAAATAAACACTGAATTTAAACTGGAAAGTCAAAAAAAAAATTTAACCATCGCAATATAGGACATAGCTTAACTGTGAAACAATTCTCTTGTTAAGCATGCAAAAAAATACGTTGAAAAAGCCTAAACATGGCGAGATAGTGAAGCCCGCATTTAAATATATAATAGATAGATAGCTGAAAGTTAAAAAATTAGGATAAGGGTAGACAGACATAACCAAATTAAAAAAGAAAGCAGCTTTACAGACAGACAGACTTAATTTGGCCTCGCAAAAAATTACAGAAAATTAATGACCTTGCGGAAAACTAATTGAAAAATTTTCTTGAGCATTGCAAAATATGATATAGCTTAAACATGAAAAAACTCTTTCGTTAAACATGCAAAATTATTATGCTTAAACATGGGAGATAGCTGTCACTCGCATTCAAAATATAGTATAGATAGATAGATAGATAGAATATTCTTAAAAGAAAAAACAAACTTTTGGAAATTGTTTTATCTGCGTTAGATACGAAATACATATTCAACCAATCATTTACAGCTAAACCTAGAGCAAATATTTTATGAACTACATTCATTAAGTTCCTCGACTCTTAATAAAACATTTTTGCTTTTCATCATTTTTTGATACATTAATATCGATATCACCTAAAATAAAAAATTTAAAAAACAACTAAACACATGCAAACTTACCAAGGGACAACTCTGTGTTATTCAGTCTCTCCTTCAAAGTAGTCAGTTCTCTCTCCAGCTCCCCCACCCGGTCACTGTGGGTGTCCCCCTCTAGCCGAGGACTGGGTTTGAGTGCCTCGGGGTGTCTCCTCTGGGTGTGTTGTTGCAAGAAGTAGTCCGACATAAAACTCTTCTCACAGATCGAACACTGAAACGAAGGATGATTTATAACGGACAAGTTAATCCCACCCTCCCCCTAAAAAGACCTGTAAGATCTATAAAGTTAAGGTCTGCTATCCCATAATTGAATTAAAATCAAACTGCTTAGCGCTGCGTGAGAAATACTCGCTTCTGATTGGCTGAAATTTCTCACAGATCAAAAACTGAAACAATCAAAACTAGAGATGAGGTGTTTGATGAGACTTTAAGACGAAGCTTAGAGGCCATTCTCCATGATAACATCGTTGAAGTAGTTCTTTGCAGGCGGTGGATTTTTGTTACTAGATACCATAAGCTGAAGCAGTTATAAGAAGCTTTTAGGAATTATGCTGGTTAAAATGAATGACCCAAGTAAGTACCACAAACTGAAAAAAAATGTCACGTAACAGCTTCTGAGTGGGTAGTTTCGTTCAAAATCGACAATGTTTTGAAAAAAAAAACCTGAAATTAAGTTTTTTTTGAAAAAAAAATTACTATAAACATTTTGTGGGAAAAGTTCGATATTGAAAAACAACGATAGATAATTTCACGATAACTCTCCAAACGCGGAAAGAATCTTAAAATCTTAAGGTGGAATCTATTCATCAGAGCTGCAATTTGAAAGCTGAAACTATTCCCAGGCATTTTTTGGCCCAGATTGTTGACGAAGTATTGAATAAGAGTAGTGCAGCTACTCACGGGAAAGTACTGCTGGGCGCCTGCAGCTATCTTGGCCTGCAACTCCTTAATGAACTGCTTCTTCTTTTTCGCCTCCTTCTTCAACTCCATAACTTCACCCTCCTGTTTATCACATCTGAACAAAGAAAATATCAAACTCAACTTCGATGAAGACCAATTACCTATCGCCTTTTCTGATTAGCCCAAGGTCCTGCTCAGTGCAGGACCAACCGTGGGGGAGAGAGAGAGAGATGTCATCCATTTCGCCGCAGCCGGTCCAACCTTGAGGAGGCGGATGACACTGGGAACCCTCCAACCGTGACCGAAGTGTGATTCGAACGCATGACCCTGGTTTGGAGAGATGTTCGACTAAACCACTCGGCCACGGCTGCTCAACTATCGTCTCGGGCCATTGGGAACATGGAAGAAAAACAATTGACAGCAAGCGAACATTGGACTGACGCTTGTTCCCAATTGGGCTCTTTTCCAGTTCCCCTCTTTGATTTTTTCGGAAATTCAATAGACAAAAACCTATTTAAAAAGACTTTCATGTTAAAAACTGCATCAAAACACGTCAGCATGAATAGGTTAATAAATTTGTACAAAAATTTTTGCATGCAGAATGCTGTGTGAACAATTTTTGAACAGCTTTATTTTGAAATTTTACCGAGGGTAATGGGAAACTGGAAAAGAGCTCTAAATTGCCGCGGCACCTTTAATCACGAGGGAAAAACCAAACATACATATTCTCTTTGGGGGGTAGCAATTCTTTTGCCCTTGGATGAGAATTACATGCAACTTTTTTTTCGGTTATTTTTCTGGATTAGGAAAAATTGCCTCGCCCTCAAAACGTTACCGTGATCGATCTGCCCCTAACGGTCGCGTTATGCCAGCTCGACACGAATCTAAAGAACTTCGCTACTTCGGTTGACTACTAGTAGTTTTGGGGTAGGACGGTGGGAACAGTTGGGAGGTTTCTGTCAGGTATGCGTTTGCCAACGCGCTATTAAGATTTCAACAAAAAAATGCAATGTTGAACAACTCACCTGCTTCCCAATGAGTCATTGAGCTGTTGTAGTTTCTTACATTTCAGCTCCAGGAAATTGATAGTTTCCGTCAGATACTCCTAACGAGGCAGACAGCGACTTCAGTTATGTGTCATTTTTTTGACATTTCGTTCTTTCTGTTTTAAACAATTGCAATTTAAAAAAAAATGAAAAATTTTTGCGTATGTAGATAAAGTCCAGTATGGTGTATAAAATAGCAAAATTAAACAAAACGTTCTAGTAAAATTTCTGGTCAAACATGTCCAGTACATTTCAAAATTACTGCATTTCTAGAGTTATATGTATTTTGTTCCGACTTTCGATTAAAGTGAGGAGTAAATTTGCACCGGGTGGTTTTCTTATTCAGAACAAATTCAGAACTGATCTCATGATCTGCATGAGCGCAGCTGGGTGTGCAGACCCCTATGGTAACTTGCCACGAGTCTGTCTAAACTTCTCGTTTTTTATTATTTACACGGGTGGCGAATTATCCCTGACTACAAAATTGTTCCAAATTGAATTGAGGCAGCTAATTGGTTTTATTAGTTTCATAAACGACTCAAATTGTAACACTTAATTTTTATTATGATCAGCCTGAAATTCATAGTTTTGCTAACACCCAATTTACCAAAAACTATTCGAGACCAAAAAAATGGCAATCGAAATGTTCCGGGCTTTGCCCTGATACGGGCAGTCTTGTTCCTTTTTATTGTACCATTGGAAAAATAATGTGATAAAAGTAATCATCTCTTCATTTTTCGGTAGTACTGATAATAAAGCTTTACTAGTAAAAATTTCATTCAATTGTCTCAAAAAACACCGGGTATAAATTATCAGTTCGAAAACCCATTCATCAGCAGAAACCACAAAAAATTCAAAAAAATTGGAGATTCTCATTGACCTGAAGGATCCGAAAAAATGTTGACTTCAAAAAACATTTTCGGAGAAAATAAGTTTCAATTTTCAGAGAAAAATTAAAAAAAAACTTTCCATCTCATTGAAATTGAAGAATAATATATGGCTGACACTTTTTTGATTGAGCTAAGCTTCTGGAGAAAATTGCGTCAATAGATAATTTTTCAAATTCTGTTGGGATTTTAGTAAAGAAAAATCTGTTTTTGAAATTTAAAATCATTCTTGTTTTGTTTTTTGCACCATTTGCCCATTTAGAAAAATAATTTGAATCAAACTACCAAAACTCAAAAAACCGAAATTGCGCGTGAACAATTTTAAAATCTTTTTCCTGAAAAACAAAGCTAACAAAAAACCTTTTAAGTGTTAATGATTTTGATCAGTGACACTTAAAAGGAGCTAGCCAAAAGCTGTCAGCGTAAAAAAAAACATTGTCTTTTAAACTTGTCTCACAATTTGAACTTTAAAAACAAATCAATCCAATTGATATCGAAGGGTGAGCTTTTCTTGAAAAATTCATTTGAAACTTGAGCTTCAGAATGAAATAAAAAAGATATCGTGAACAAATTTTCTAAGTGTTCTTGAAAAAATTGAGTTTGAATAATTTCGCGGAAAAATTCAGGCCAATAATTCTCGAGGCAGTTTGGATTTCAATTAGGATATTAGGAATACATCTAATTGAATTTTGTCTAATTTTGAAGTCCCTGCCTGTGAATGTAAGAGATACTCCGAGATAAGTTGCGACAATTTGAACAATTTGATCAAATTGGGATCTACTCCATAACGCCAGTCCACTTCAGAGTCTATATTGCAGAAGGTGACATGGAGCAAATTTTGCTGCAGACTTCCGAAATCCGTCTCTTCTGTTATATGGTACAAGCGTGATAGATGGGTGTTTATAACTGGAATTAGTTAAACAGGTATGTCAAAATCCACCACCCCCATCCCCCCATATAAAATTGTCTGAAAACTGTTCATTTTCGTTCACTTTTCTTGTTTTTTTTTCAAGTTCGGCCTCTTTTCCACTTATCATCACTTATCAATTTCAATTTGAAATTTTTTTTAGCGTAGTGAAATTGGAATGCAAAGGTGTCATGGTTAAAAAAACTAGCAATTCGGAACAGATTTGTTTTCTCATACTAACATCGCAACATGAAGTGTTAAAATATAATAACACGTAAAACAGCTATTAAAAAATTTGAAAGCCAATTTCTTTGCCTAAAAATAGAAATGCTTCAGCCAAAAAGAAACAAAAAATTGAGGACAAAATTACCTATGCAATAGATTATTTGGTGTCAATCTGATATTTCCAATTGTGATGTATTTTTTTCAAGGACTCATCTACCACGTTTGTACCTGTAATTCGATCGATGTCAACTCCAGCTAGGAGACGCCAGTTTACAGCCTCGGTTCGCCTTCTGAACTTCAAACCTGCTCTCTGAGGCATTCCATTATGAAGATGAGAATTGTTCATGCTCTGAGGTCTTTGAGGGTAAGCTGTGAAGTTAGTACTCTGGTTATAACTACCTACGCCAGTAGGTCGAGAAAAAGGTGCAAACGGACTTGCTAGGACTTCAGAAGCGCTCATTGAACAACGTTGAAAGTAGTCCTTAAAAAGTAAAAAAAAAACAAGATAAACTTATAGAAAATAAAAACCAACGCCAAAAAAAAATATATTTTTTTTTATTGGTTTTGTTCGTTTTTATTCAACACAGGTAAAGCAAGTGTACACAAAAATCAATGAAGCATAAAAAAGCAACGTTTAGATGAAATGGCCAAAAACAAAATCGTAAGTGTTTTCATATATTTAAACTAATACTTGTGTTTAACCACGTAATAAAAGCTGCCAGTGTGATTATATAAGAATTGAAAAATCGTACCATTCAAATGAACGTTTTTGCTCGCAGCTGTAAAATAATGCCAATGGTGTTTTTGATGTTCGTTTTTCTCATCAAACGAAAATATATACTTGAATAAAAAAACGCACGTGGGTTAAATGGATATTTCTCCGGCTTGGAAAAGGTACAACAGGACCTGAAACTAAGAACGGCAGCAAAAAATGTGAGAGCATATTTATTGAAAGGTAGTATCTAGAAACTTTTTAGTTTGGGCTCTTCCCCCCCCCCCCCCCCTCCCACCTACGAATTTTTTAAGTACTTTTTGGTGAAATGATTGATTTTTACTGAAATTTTCATGCACACTGAATGGGCCATAACAAGCATATTTGGTCTTCATATTTCAACTTGTTAAACTACTAGTTAGACAATTTAAAAAATGATTATTTCAGGAGGGTGACGAAAGGAATAAGAGCCTTAGTTTTAATAACAATTGGTTATTTCATTTTTTTTTTCAAATACTTTAAACACAAACTGATTGTTAATAAATCATTTTGAAGACCCTTTGTTCGATTTCAGTTCGTGCTTTGCAAAATGATGAGAAACAAAAATGGTCAATTTGCCTTCGCAGCTCTGATAAGTGCCCGAGGTGCTACAAGAGAATGGATGGATGTGCATGGTGTTGAAATTAGTCGTTCGAATCGCGGCTATAAGGGCTTGAATATGATATATCACTTGAACCATCCAGATGATTAGTTATGGTACCTAATTGTGTGACAAATAAACAAAAACGCACCCTAAGACAAAGTTCCTCGCCATTTTCAATAGTCGGATTATTAATTGTCATATGATGAAATATTGCTTCAAAGCTGAAAATTCCTAAAGATCAGCCTCATAAAAACTTGCTGGAGGTTCAATTGTCGTATTATATTAACGTTCTTTCAATCTTGAATCAAAAATTGCAGTAAAAAGTCATTAAGGTTATCTCAAAACTGAGAAAAATGTCGGTTGCTGTTCCAGTAGCACAGAATTTTCCGACCATATTCATTAAAAATTCAAAAAATTAGTGTCTTTTTAGAGCGCGGCGTGATTTGAGAACTATCTGATCGCGTAGAGAATTAGTGAATAATGGATGATTGACAAAGTTTAATTCAAAAAATGAATACCAAACAAGAAATTTTTTAAAAAATGTTAGAAAAATTTTCTAATTTTTTCTTATTTTTGTCAATAGCTTTTCAGCTTTTTGAAAATCTTTATCGTCAAATAAGCACTGAAAGAAACGCGTTTCAGTGAGAAACTAATTTTCGTGATAGTAAAATGAAGTTCTGTGAGCCTAAAATTATTTTAAAAAATAGTTAACGTTCATAAAACGGACGTTTCTCGATCGCGCTTTTTGCTCGAAATTAAACTAAAAATCAAAAATTTTAAACAGGTTTTTCTCGACTTTGGGATAATTTTTTGATTTTAATGTCGTTCGAATCACGACTGAAAAAGCTTTATCATGATAAGCCACTCAACTCTCTCCGATAGTATCTGTGGTAGCTGATTTTGCATGGAAAACAAAAAAGAGAAAAAAACTAATTTACACCGAATACAAAGTTCCTCCCCATTTTCAATGGTCGGAACAAAAACCCGAGAAGAACCAATTCAGATTAAAAAAGTGTCCCAAAAACTGACAGCAAATTCTGGATCTAAGCAGAAGTAAAGTAATCATATAGTTAATGAACTTTAGGGCCCAACAGCATCCATAAAATGAAAATATGCGACTGGCTGAAAATCAACAAAAAGTATAAAAATGCATGATTAAAAAGATTCAATAAATTCTAAGCTGAAAAACATGGTAAGTTAGACACAACTAGTTCAACAAATTTTAACCAAATGAATGCTTTTCTTTGAAGGTTTGAGTTCAAACTGTAGAATCACTACAGAAAGTCTCATTGAACAGACTATATTAAACTTCTTCGATAGAAAAAAGCAAAATGAAAAATTTCAAAAAGAGGTACTAGTGGATCTTTGTCTCAAGCAGACATACTAAAACGTCACTGAGGTAGAAGTGACTACAACACGTCGCAGTACGGTCAATTGCGTCTTTAATCGTCTTATGGGAGAAAAACCTTTTAGACACCGTTTTTTCGCAGCGTTTTTCGAGATCACCAAATCTTTATTATAATCAAGCGTTTTACGGAAAGATAACAGCAAGCTTGTCAAAGGAAATCAGCTATTGTTCATCGAACAAAATTTTGAGTATCTTCAAAAAAGCTTGTTTTCGGCAGTCGCAGCACTCTAGGGCAGTGGAGCCAAATTGCCAAGAAAAACAGCAAAAAGCTCACTGGAGAAAGTATATAATTAACATAGAAGATTTCGAATGTCTCGGGTTTCCGTTCTCATACCCGGCATATCACTGTACTCTTACCTTGTTAACTATGCTGCTGCTTCCACATCTGCGGAGTGATTTACATGAACATCTCTGGTCTCGGTATAAAAAAGTTTCAAAGAACCCTTCATATATTTTTGTGAGGGTTATTTTAGAAGAAGTAGTATAATGGCCTCCATCCTGATGATATAATTGATGAGATTTTTGGTTCCTCTAACAAAATGTCTTAAATTTTTCAAATCTAAATTTCATAACTCTGTTCTCCTTTCATTTGAACAATCCGTTAAATTCAAATTTTGACGTCGGTTCGTCCAATTTGATGGCGTATATTTTTCGTAGGTAGCAAGTCAAATAATTAAATGTAGAAGGTGAACCATGAAGGTTTTCAATCAATCCTTAAAATCTAATCCTGGACCCGGTATCGCTTGATTCTAAGTTTCTGATCTCTCAAGCTTCAACGTGCTCATTCTCCTGAATTTTCCCGAGCAGAACCCCTCTATTAGGGTTGAGAATTTCAAGCTCGGTTACTTTTTGTATTTCAAGTTTTTTGAAAAAAAAAAAATCAAAAAACCATATTGGAAACCAAAAAGATTAGAGCAGATGTATTTGGATAGCAAATTTGCAACGCCAATGTGTAACTGACAGGACTCCACTTGAGGGTTCAGAAATTCGAGTTCTGTTAGTTTATTTTCATACTAAGTTTTCGGAAAAAAATTTCGAAAAAATCAGAAAAATCATCACAACTCGGAAATCAAAAGGATTTGAGCAAATTTACTTGGAGTGAAGAATTGCTACCCCTGAGTGTACTCTGACAGCACCCCACCATACATTTGAGAATTTCAAGTTCCAACAACTCTTTTTTGTTTTTTGAGAAAAATCATAAACAACGCCATGTCTCGAAAACTAAAAGGAGTTGAGCAGTCACACTTGGAATCCAGTTTTTCTATCCCTGAGAGTATCCTGACAGCACCCCATTACACGGCTGAGAATTTCAAATTCGGTTACTTTTTTTACATCTAAGTTTTGAAAAATTGAAGAAAAAAAAACACAGAAAACGCCATATCTCGAAAACCAAAAGAATTTGTGCAGTCATATTTAGACGTCAAGTTTGCAGCGCCTGAATATACTCTGCTAGCACCCCCATTATAGTGTTGAGAATTTCAAATGAAGTTGAAAATATTGGGAAATAAAAAAAAATGAGTTTTACGTTGCGGATAAAGGACGAATGTAGAGTTGAAATATTCGCACACCGACAGAGTTTAAATATTCGACTTGAGTAAATATTTTGACCCTTACAATGTATCCTTTTAACAGGCCAACATAACGAATTCTTAAACATGTGCCAAATTAAATTTCTTATGCAATACAATATATGATATAGCTGAAAAATTCTTTCGTTTAACATACAAAAAACAATACGTTGAAAATGCTTCAACATGTCAAAATCGGGACTTCTTAAACATGTGCCAAGTGAAACGCCTGTTAATTAAAGTATACAAAACCAACTTTAAAATTAGTTTGTGTCTATCCATGAACTTTAAATATCACATTGAAACCACATAATCTATTTAATTGGTAGATGTTAAGACCGCCAAAGTTAGCAACTCCGAAAATGAAAATTGCCATTTCAAAATTCTTCCACGATCTTCATCAGAAAAATTGAATAAAAGAAACATAGCCAACTGACAGTTGGAATAGAGTAATGAACGCAATGAAACTGAAACAAAAGCTGACTAGTTTTTTCTACAAATAATCAACTTTTCAATTTAGAAGAAAAAAGAGACAAAAATGGACACGTTTTTTGCTTAAATTAATCCAATTTGAGAAAACTGGATCAATAGAAAAGACTTTAATTCAATGGGAGTTAGCAGTCGATGGGAATTCGAAATTAGATGTCGATCACGTTTTTCGTGACCTTTACATGTTTGCTGTTTGATAGTGGAGTTTGCCTTCCTTTTAACAATGGAAATGCACTGAACTTAAAAAGAAACCACAAGTCAAACCGCGAAAAATCACAATTGAGCACGAATAAATTTAAAGACTTTTTCCTGAAAAAAAAACAAAAAAAAATCAACAAGACCTATATAAGAGTACGCACAGTGAGACAAAAATACAAGCACTTAAAAACGTTTTTGTCATCGATTGAGTCTCCTAGCGGTAAAACTGAACCGAAGAAAAACTGAATACTTGTGTTTAACCACGTAATAAAAGCTGCCAGTGTGATTATATAAGAATTGAAAAATCGTACCATTCAAATGAACGTTTTTGCTCGCAGCTGTAAAATAATGCCAATGGTGTTTTTGATGTTCGTTTTTCTCATCAAACGAAAATATATAGTTGAATAAAAAAACGCACGTGGGTTAAATCGATATTTCTCCGGCTTGGAAAAGGTATAACAGGAGCTGAAACTAAGAACGGCAGCAAAAAATGAGTTGAAAGGTAGTATCATAGCTAGAAATTTTTTAGTTTGGGCTCTTTCCCCCCCCCCCACCTGCAAATTTTTATATTTGAAGTTACTGTTCACTTTGTTCGATTGTTATGAAAATTGACAGGCAGACTAATTAGGCCATGACAAACATATTTGGTCTTCAAAATTTACCTTGTACCAAAATTTGCTCTTTTCG